TTTTTTTACTTTTTATTTTTACATTTATTTTTACATTTATTTTTTGTCGACTTTCTTTATTTTTTTTAGTTTCGTTTTATTTTTGATTTTTTGGATGTAGTGGTTATTTTTATATATATTATAATGGTTAATTTGTGTAATAAAATTTCCAAATTTCTTGTTTTATTATGTTTTCAAAAATATTTACAATTATATTTTTTTATATTTTTATGATAAATATATAAAATATTTATATTAATAAAATATTAATATTTTTTTTTTTTTTTGTAAAATATGAATACAAATATGAATGTATAATTGTATTTAAAGTAAAAATTTATCTTAAGTAAAATTGGTAACACTTTATAATTATAAATAATGCAATATAAGTATTTTTTTTTTATATGTACAAATATATAAATGTTGAATTCAACATCTCCTTTACAAGGAAGGTTCTAGATGGATCAAGATATGGGGGTTGCATAGATATTTTGGGAGCTTGAACATTAAATTAATTAAACAACATTAGAAGTGTTTGGTAGTTTTGGAATTGTGGAGAATTCTAATGTTGGTTTATTTCCACCAACTTTGTTGTACTATACACACACATCAATGTTGTAATTAGTTGTGTGTGTCCAATGGGTGAGTTGCGTATGTGATAAAAATATTAAAGGTATTTGAGAGAGAGTGTTATTACATTAAAAATAATTAGTGTGTTTTGATCTTGATAAGTGAAGTATTTATCTTGGTCTATATTGTGTTTATGTAATTATTTTGTCAATATAATAAAGTGATCTTGATAAGTGAAGTATTTATCTTGGTCTATATTGTGTTTATGTAATTATTTTGTCAATATAATAAAGTAATTACGTTAGTGTCTACACATTGTGTGTGTACCCAATCCAACAAGTGGTATCAGAGCCAGATGAGTTTGGTCTGGCGATTGGTTGATGTACGACTTATTGTGCAGAGCTTCTTGATCGTAGTTTTGCAGTTTCCTACTGCGAAGTTTGTGTGCAGTTTAGTACTGCAGAGTGTGTGTCGAGTTGATCGAGTGAAGCCAAGATGGGAGACCTTCAAGTGGTCGGAGGTATCAAGAAGCTAAACAGTCAAAATTACAGCGCGTGGTCGACGTACATGGAGTCACATTTACAAGGCGAAGATTTGTGAGAGATTGTGAGTGGTAGTGAGGTTACGCCACCATAGGATTTTGCAGCTTCGAAAAAATGGAAGGTTAAAGCTGGCAAGGCCATGTTTGCTATCAAGACGACGATCAAGGAGGAGATGTTGGAGCACATTAGAGACATGAAGACACCAAATGACTTACATTTGCGAGGTTGTTCTCGAAGAGGAACGATGCGAGGTTGCAACTTTTGAAGAACGAGCTTCTATCATAAATCGTGTTCGAAAGAAGGCCATTAGTGAATCTTTCGTCACAAGCCGAGAAGGAAGACCCTTAGTGCGCCCTTCGAAGCATCTATCGTGGAGAATCAAGGCATTGGGCGCGGGATCGAAGCAAGCCAAGATATACGATCTTCATCACACCCCTCCGGCACTGGGAGGTCGTCCGTCATTGTCGTCACAGCCGTGGTGGAGTGGCCGCGGGTGGACGTTCGTCTGCTCTCTGCAATGGCAGCTATAACAACAATACCTTGGTGATATCGAACGGACAACAACAGCGTCACATGGGGATGCCGACGAAAGGAAACCGACGGACATCAGCGGCGGCGCTCTGCAAAATTCATTGTTTCTGCTGGCAACGAAGGAAGGCAGTGGCGACTGTCTAATTGGCGACAGTGAAAATGACTGTGGCAGCAGATAGATGTGGTGGCCGGCGATCGAGTGGTATGTGTACTATGTGTTGTTGCATGTGTGTGTGTGTGTTGTGTGTGTGTGGAAAAGAGAGAGATATGGTGGGTGGTGTGTGATGGGGTGGGGTGAGCGGATGGGATAGTGACATCACATGGCCACGTGACAGGTAGGTATTGAATGTGTGTGAGCTGATAGTTTGTGTGGGCTCACAAGTTTATAATAAATATTTAAATTATAGTTAATGAGTATAAAAAATTGAATTTTTTCTTTTTATGTTGATGATCAGATTTCTTGATTAAAATTTATTTTTATTTCTTTAAGTGAGAACTTTCTCACATAACTCATCCTATCCTATATATATTAGGGTAAGGTTATAGTCCCGTTACGGAATCACTTCGTTGAAATTTTTAACAGTTAGATGCACATGCTACATTAATCTACATGTGCATCTAACGGTTAAAAATCTTACAGAATGACTATGTATCGGGACCGTAATATTTTCCTATATATTATTAACTATGGAACGATTAGATATTAGGAAAAGAATTAAATAATACAATCGAGTAGGGCAGTAAACGAGCCGATCCGAGCTCGAGCTTAGGGTGTTCGAGCTCGAGCCCTTAACGGCTCGGCTCATTAAATGAACGAGCCTAAATCGAGCTCGAGCCTTAACGAGCCGATCTCGAGTTTTAACGAGTTGAACTATAAAAATTTTATTTTCGAGCCTAAACGAGCCTTTTCGAGCCGAGCCGAGCTCGATTCGTTAGTCAAGCGAGCTTTTAATGAGCTCGAACTCGATTCGTTAAGACCTCGAACTCGAATCTTACCGAGCCGAGCTCGAGCCAAACTGAGTTAGACTCGTTTAATTTAACATTAAGTCTTGTCATGTTATTGGAACTTGCAAGTTGCTGAAATTAATTAGACATTTGGGCCCTACAACCGAGTCTTGTCATGTTATTGCAAACTTGCAAGTTGCTGAAATCAATTAGACATTTGGGCCCATCACCCAATTGATAGAGTAGCTAAGTTGGAAACATCTCTCCCACCTTCAAACTCAAACAAATAATAATAAAGATAACAAGGAAAAAAAAAATGTCATAGGTCGTATTCACGTCAGCATTCTTCCTTCTAAATAAATTGAAATAATTTTCTTTGCATTTAATTGTTCAGAACTACTGTATTATGCATAAATAGGACTATATTTCAGCTCCAAATGCTTACAAATTTGCAATGGGGAACTTAATTATTTGATATGTTGTATACGTATATACATATACTATATTGTTAATTATGTGCCAAAAAGATTTTTTGTTATCTCATATAGTATTTATAAAAATATATTGTGCATTTTATTTAATTTTTATGTCAACAGAAAGGAGGAGTAGTGAAAATATTACAATCATTAACTTAATGACGGTTTTTATTATTATTTATTATTTTTATTTTTTATTTTTTATGTTATATGTATTGGAGCTAATATAATATATATATATATATATATATATATATATATATATAATTACTAGCTAATAGCATTTAATAAAACCTATTTAATTTTACTTATGTGGCAATTTAACTATTTTCCCTCCAAAAACCGTTAGAATCTTTCATTTAATTATTAAATAATCAATACTAATCACTTCAAAATTACAAAAATCATTTTAAACTATTGATTACTGACAGTTGATCATATAATTTGTTGACCATATAATGTGATTAGATGTTATTATTGTGGTTACATTTAAATTATTATTTAAAAAAAACGTATTTAAAATTCTTAAATAAATAATAAATAATTTACAAAAAAAAAGACGTATAAAAATATACATTACATCCAATCAGATAAACGCAATTTTAAAAAAAATATTTCAACTCATTTAATCGTAAATTTGGCCAGCAAAAAGGTGAAAGAAAAATAATTAATCATTATATACATACAAATAACTCACATTATTTTATTTACATCTGTGCAAATGCATAGGGTTGAGTACTAGTTTTCGCATGAACACGCCACTTAGGGTTAAATTAACTCATTAATTAAGATGGTCCATGTGAATGAATCTATACTTATATAAAAAGGTATTCTATTTACTATAATTAGTAGTAAGAAAAGTCAAATGTAATTAATGCATTCTATTTCCATCAAGTTTTTATTTAATTATTTTAGTTAATTGTTTTATTTCATAACATCTTTTCAATACAACTTACCATGATTTTTCTATTGTGATTAAAAACTAAATTTCAGGTTTAAAATCTTGTGAAATTATTATTATTATTTTTATAAAGCACATATTATTTGTTAAAAAATTGTACATATATATATATATATACATATATATATATATATATATATAATACACATCACAGTACCATGGTAGATGATTTAAATTTCAACCGACCAAAATGTCAATGATTTAAATTTGAACACACCTATGCGTTTGACCAAATGTCTGGATGATTTAAAATTGAGCCCATCAAAATTTATCTAAATTTGAATACACCAGAAATTTTATGTACTTTTTATTTATAAATATATTGAAAGTGGTATTTAATAGCTGTTATATAAACTATTTTAATATATTTGCAATGAATAAAAGTTTGAATGAATAATTTGTTGTAATGTTATTCATAATGTTTGTGACTTATGAGACACCGACACATAACTCCATACATATTTGCCAGAGGGCGGCTTAATAATTTTTTAGACATAACGTTGATTAAAAGAGGTAGAAAATAGATAATAACATTATTACTTTTTAGACTTAAACGGACAAGGCTGTGAAAATAACTCATTTAATATTTTTGTCCCGTGCATCGCACGGGGTATGCACTAGTTTCTTCTTGTATGCGTACTATTAAAACGGCTATGAGTAAGATTATCGGTAATGTTACGGTCCCGTTACGCAATTATTTCGTCGGAGTTTGTAACCGTTAGATCATCATGTAACCATTACAAATAATTGATCTAATGATTACAAACCCTGACTGAATGATTCCGTAACAGAACCATAGCATCTCCCAAGATTATAATGTAAATGAGACATACATTATCCAAAGAATGAAATTTGTGGTTTTAATGAATGAAAGTCCAAATCTCCATAAAACTATTACTCCAAACTAATAAAACAAAGAGAAATATCAAACACGTTATTCTTAAAAAGTGAATAGGACAATAAAAAATGTATATATTCTGTTAGACCTTCCCAACCGTACTACAAAACACAAAATTTGCAGTACGGGGAGTTCTAATTGGTGCAAAAAATTGATCGCAAATTGTGATCTGATCACTCTCCTCAGCAGAGCCGGCCCTGGGGTAGGGCGGGCCGGGCGACCGCCCAGGGCCCCCTCTTACCCCAGGGCCCATTTTTACATATTTGTTAATATATGTATAGATACATTAATTGTATAATAAAAATATTAGATATAAAATTAATCTTAATTCTTAATTTATTTTATGCTTTAAACAATGCTTTTCAT